TATTTTCAGGGCTCCGAGATACGATTTAATGTTTAGTGTTACAATATATCAAGCACGCTTTTGAAACAACTAGAGATTTTCGTGTTGGAATTCACCATCGAATATGCATCGTTGTAAATCAGGGTTCTATTTAGTCCAACCCCACTGGCCGTTCATCTTCACTAGCTCACTAAAATCAGGAGTAGCCGAAACCGTCGCTATCGAATCTCGCACGAACACTCTTTGAAGTGGGTCATCAATTATGGTTGTTCATCACCAATAATTACTGATGAATGTTTATTTTAGAATGGAGGATTTTATGCTCCAACTTCAAATAAGCGCCTTCCACACATATATTTATAGTTTGTTGGTAGACCTTTATAGATCAGTAAAGGCTGCCTCTTCAGCCGTTGATACATTGCAATCAGTCGCCGAGCATCCAATCGTTCTACGTTACATTGATAGTCCACTTAAATATGACGCTAAGTTCAACATAGTTATTTCACTATATGTCACCACATTTCGCCTTTTATGATCATAGATCACAAAGTTGAACTTAACTCGTGCTGGATCATAAGTCATACATTACTTGACTTGCCGTCGCGACGTGGTACGAATGTACTTCGGCATAATTTGTTATACCCATTTGTCAGGCCAAACTCGAGAATAGTTGGGGAACTAACAGTATGAGTGATGACTGAAGATTAGGCATCAAAGATACAATCCAAAAAATACATAAATTAGTAAAATGAAGCTAAAAAATGTTGTGAGGAATTGAGCGCAGAATTTGGGGAAGATGAATAATGGATGCACTTGTGCACTTGTGGTTACTGTAATCAAGCGAACCCCAACCAGTTAGTCTACACGTATTAACATGGCTCAGTTCAGTTGTCGATTATGAGGGCTCTGATAAACATAGTCTTCTGATCGCAACAACCCAAACATTTTTGAATGTTTTCCTCTAAATGAGTAATGTTGCTACTATGCTGGTCTGCATCATCATCAAGACTGATGATAAGTAATGCAGTCTCTCGTGTTCACTTCACTTACGCCAGCAGTTTCATTAGATTTCTCGATTTGGTGTCTACGAAATCTCCAGACCAATACAGAAAGCTTGCATAGCTTTTAGCAGATTGCGTCACTTGTGGTACGGACAAGATGTTTGCCAAAGAGGTGGTGAGTACGCTGTGTAGTAGTCCTCTCTATTTTTATTACTATGGATCATGGTCGTTATACGTAGTCATTTATAGGTTACTAGTTTTTGATCATGTCAGGGAAGTCCCAATCACTGCCTTCTCGCGGCGAGGTGTTGTTTATGAAATTAAGAGGACGAAAAGCGGTTGTCCTGCGCTTTGACCGGGTTAGTGGACATAGAGAGTCCACCTGGGGGGTTGGAAAACTCTGATTACAAACCAATGGTGCACATGGGCTCCTGTATCCTAAGGGAACAGATGGCGTATGAACCAATCATTGGTCACCGGCTACCATGGAACTGCATCTCCTTACTTTGCTTCACTGCCTTGTGGATCAGCCCTTTAGGTCGAGGGCTCCGAGTGTGGCCCCCTAAGAAAACCACCTGCTTCTGTTTGGGCACGCGGGCAGTATCATAGCCCTCACACATATCAAATGAGATTTCTGTGGCGCATATGTATTTGATACCCCTTTGTTCCACATACAATCGGTTAAGTGACATAATTTGTCCTTAAAATTATTGCTGAATATTTATCAGTTGGAGAACCATGTACGCAAGGTTGCTGCAAAAAATGTTTCCTGGGAGATTTGGAAATTCTTCTCTTCACGATGTCTGCAGTCATATCACCTTTGGAATCTTTGTTTATATAAAGTGTTTTCTTTTCTACAGAGGTTATTTGTGCCCTATGCAGCTCAAGTTTTATATTCTTTTGAGTAAATATCGATAGATACCCGTGTTTGTCATTACCAAAAGCGATTATTACATTATTCAGTTTATATAAAGACGAACTCACTCATTATTCTCAGGATAAGCTATAATTGCCACTGAAAGTGTGTCTTTAGAGCGTGACCACGGGCCCATAACCACATAAAACCTAGGGATTGGTTCAGACTGTATCAAGGATTTAGCCAAGACAAGCAAATCTCTCGAATACATTTTCAGGCAGCTTTGCACAATCGGCCTAGAGTTGCTCTTAACACTTTTTAAAATGTACACACGGCCCCGTCTTGAAGTCCAAGGTGTGATTGAGCTTCCTCTGTTCAAAAGAGACAAAAATCTCTTAGACCAAGTACGGAGATGGGCAACGAAGTATGTGATATGTCTAAGACGTGAATTTTACGAGGACAGACTCTGGCATCTGGGATTAGTTACGTTTAGATACAGAAGAATAAAAGGTGATCTATCAATGGCATGCAGCATATTGGGTACAATAAATCACACTAACATGAGCATATTGTCAGAATATCAACACGCTACTCAAGGCAACTTATATAAGGATTGGATACCAAATAGCGAACATTTATGCACCCTCTCACTTTTTCCCACTATGAGTTGCCCCCAAAGCGGAAGTGACCATAGCCTATCTTCAGGGTATAGCTCTAAGATGAAACGTGACAAGCACGTACTCACTAAGGAGTTACCATCCCTCTCTTGGACCAGATATGTCTGATACATGTTTCGGAACTCACAATGCTTATGATTACTGCATAGCCAGTAACTACTTCCAACCTTGGTTATTATCATCCCCGTTCTCCTCTTATCCTTTTGATTCCACGTCCTTAAACTTTACCAATTATTTTAACTATTTATTTTGAAACAATTTTCTTCTATTTGCGCTCGAAATAATAATTTATTATTTTCACATTGGAATCCACCAGCCACCTGTCTGGTAATATGATAGTTGTTGGTATCCGGGATCCTTACCGACCTGAGACAAAGGCGCTCACTCAAACTGCAAGATTTACAAACTCGTAAATATCTACCAAACTGACTAGAACAAGTGTATTTGCGTGGCTGAACTACTAAATATTGAACATTGTCAAATACTTGAAACCTTGCCGAACTATCAAGAAGCGAGAGCAAAGAAATCGATCGTCTTATGGAAGCTCGCGAGAAAGACACACAAAAACACTTCTCGCTCAGATATAGCTCATTTTGCTATACTGAGGGGAGCAGCCTCAATCCTGGCAACACCGCTTTCGTGATTTTCTCACGCTCGCTATCGGAAAATAGGAAGCTAGCTCACATCACATCAATTTTCAAAGGAAGTCGACGCAGTGAACCTTCAAGTTACCGAACGGTGGCTCTTCTCTCTATACCTTCCAAAATCATGGAGTCCCTGATACGCGATGGTATATATGACTATTTACTGTCCCTAAATTTCTTCTCACCCCAACAGCATGGTTTCAGGAAGGGTTACTCTTGTATAACCAACCTGCTGACTGTGGTGGACAGATGGACAAACATCCTTGATCACAAGGGGAAGGTTGATATTGATGATGTCACAGGTATTCAGTGTTTGACAACGCTTCTACCAGTAACACCTTCTAATATATTTCGTTCCCGCCCAGAGAAATCAAAAGACAGAGTCGAGGAGATCGGAAAAGTATATTTGGCGATGACCAATATATCGGAATTCTCTGATCTAATCTGGCTAGCGATTGCGGTTGATGTTGAGCACGGCGTTACCACACGTGATCTGGTGCAGATGCCTGACCGAGCGCCTTCAGCTAGATGAGTCCACTAAAACATATGGTCAGCATCCAATGTCGAAAACTTACAGAGCTATTTATTTTAGGGATTTATTTACCGCTACAATATCATCTACCTAGATTTCTCGAAAGCTTTTGATAAGGTTAACCATACATGTCTTATCAATAAGCTCAAACAACTGGGTATCAGACCACCTGTAATTGGCTGACTCATCTCATATCTGAAAAATCGACATTTTAAGGTCAGGGTTAACTTCACTTTATCTCGGGCTATGGAATGTCCTAGTGGGGTCCCCCGGGACTCAGTACCAGGACCTCCTCTCTTCTTGATTTATATAAATGATCTTCCACAGCAATTATCGTCAGACTCATTACTTTTCTCTGATGACGTGAAACTTTGAATAGAGATGCGCAACCAAGACGATATGCAGGCACTTCAGGAGGACCTGACTCGACTTCAATGTCGGGCAAATGACAACGGACTTACCCTTAACATTTCAAAGTGTAAAGTAGTCCATCTGTGACGTGTCGTAGACTACAGTTACAACTTAAGCAACTCCTCTCTAGTAGTATCCCGAATCGAAAAATATTTAGGAGTCCTGGTGCCTTACTATTTGAAGTCTTACGCTAACTGTGACAAAAATGCCTTCTGAGCAAACCTTGCACCGGTAACATTGAAGCGCATTTTCGGCCAGTATGACGGAAGAACTTTACATATAATCTTCAACAGTTTTATTCGTCCCGATTTAGAGTACGGAAAAAAAGGATCTCCTCCCTCACTCCGAAAGGATAAGTACACTCCGGAGCGTATCCAACGGCGAGCCACAAAATCAGTTCGAGGACTCAAATTCAAACCTTATGAAGATCGCCTCCAATCACTTAACCTCTACCCATTAGAGTATAGGAGTCTTAGAGGTGACCTTCTAATGACTTACAGTATCTTAAACAATTTCGAGCATCCCCTTAAACACGTACTTAACCTTAGTCCCAATACAAACCTAAGGGGTAACACCTAGAAATTGGAAATACAACAAAGCAGAATGGACTGTAGACACAACTTCTACACCTTAAGAGTTGTTAAAAGCTGGAATTCGCTGCCTACTAGTCCAAGCGACTTCCTAGGAGTCTTTGAAGAGGAAGCTTGACCTATTCTTAAGGACTAAGGATAACATTTTATTATGCGTCACCAATTTCCTTTTTTTAAAATCTGTTATAGTTAGTATATATAGGTTCCTGCCTGGAGGTATTGGTGATCTCCTGCTACTAGACACGGAAGCCTGTTAAGCGAAAGCTTTTTGTATTCCGTCCAAAACCTTTTGAACCATTTGAACCTTAGAGATGATTAAAAGTTGAAGAACCAAACACGCGGGTTGATTTGGTTACAGATGTCCTTGGTAGGAATCTCAATGCTGTGATTGTTGGTTGAGATGTGGATTTTAATTCTAACAGAATAAGTAGTCTAAAGTTACTTTATTTAATGCTTATGGAACAAACGTCAGGAGATACCCACCTGAAGGAACCCACATTAACATGATGGGAGTTCTTTACGATTAATGCTGAACATCACTTTAGGGGAAATGCAGTTCCTATGGGCGACTCACACAGTCCAGTGAATAGGGGATTAATTTCGTCCTGTTTTCGAAGAATTTCCACGAAAATCAGCGGAATTTTGCGGGAATTTCCTTCACTTAATTGGAATTTCTAGAATGCACAATCAGTTTATGTTGATTGTTTATTCTGCAAAGTTGGGAGTTCGCTGATTGTTTATTCTACAGATTAAGTTTACTGAGCCTAGAGACAAAGTTTCTCCTGTTGTCCCCAATTATTCGTCACCACTGAAAATGCTCTAGAGCTCAGTTACTGGTTATTCTAACATTTATATACTATTACTTATGTGGCATTGTATGGTCAATGTAGGCTTACGTACGTTGTTAGATTTATGAATACTAAGTGGGAGTTGATGACGCTCAGTTCAATTTGACGCTAGTCAGTAATTCATGTACATCATCCAGTCGTTTATTTTAAAACTCGCTCTGGTCCAAATTTGTGTTTCCTTTGACTTCATTATCAGTTCTCTCAGTGCAGCTCTGCATTATGGCCTCTTTTTCAGTCAAACGTAGATGTTCATTTATTTCCGGCTAATATTATTTGATCAGGCCCTGTCGGGACAGAATCAGTGTCATATATGCAGCGCAAAATTGCGTGCGAATTCAAACAATATTAGCAAAATCATTTGATATTTTTCAGTCCTAAGTCTATTGCCTGTTAAGTAAATGGTCGAATAGTCGTAATTTAGTCGATATCCAGTAGGAAATTCACCTAATCAATCATGAAACGTCTGACCAGTCACAATGAAGACACTATTAAAACAGTTGTTTGTTTCTGTACGTATTTGTCATAGTTAATCAGTCAGCTACAACGCAGGACCAGACACGTATGTGCATCGATCCAAGTTGCCATACCCCTTTAGCACAACAAGATGAGCACCGAATTCATAGAAGTAGTTACTTGAATGGTGGTAATATATAAAAGAAATATTTTATTTAAAGATATAGTATAGGAAGAAGGAATTAATTCATAGAAAGACAGGCATGAAGCGATTTTAATCTCATAGTTTTAGGAAAGACAGATAGTGTATACACCGACGCCATTGTGATCGATTCTGAGCCATATCACCAAGAGTCTCCAACCATTGGTTACGATAGTCACGCGGACCTCGACCAAGTAGTCTGCATCTACCAACATGGGTCAGACTAGAAGTTAGTGACTTCAAGCACTGATACTACGTTTTGGTTTGATTACCCAACTTTCTTCCAACCATCCCCAACACTAGTTAGCATTGCGCATCGTGGTAATCGGTGTTCAGGCATACGTAACACGCGACCCAACCATCTCAGTCGATGAAGATTCACAACCTCATCAACTGATTTACCATCATTCCCTAATACCCAATGTCTAACCTCACTATTACTTACCCGGTGATCCCAGCAGATGTGAGCAATATTTCTAAGACATCTGTGATCAACTACTAGTAGAATACGAGTATTTTCTACTTCTAATAGTCATGTTTCGCAGCCGTAAAGTAGAACAGAATGAACTTCCGCACAATATACTTGTCTCTTAATTGATATACGAATATCTTGCCTTCGCAATAGATGACGTAAGTTGGCAGAAACCAAACGAGCTTTTTGAATCCATGCAGAGATTTCGTCAGACACCAACCCATTATGGCTGATCGGACTTCTAAGATAAGTGAAGTTGTCGACACTTTGGACATCATGTGATAAATTAGCCTGCCTACTGTTGTGGTCAGTTTGTTAGTATTAAGTCTACTATATTGTACGAAACGGGGAAAATAACCGTTCACTTAACCTCTGATTGCAACACCCTGATTTTTATAAAAACTTCGGCAACTGAATTCGCCACGATTGATTTCAATAACAAGTAAGACTATCTAATGATGCACAAGTGCAAGTAAGTGAATCTGTAAAATAATGATATGAGATAAAAGACTTGCCTAGTAGTTGTCACAATGTCATTCACATCCCATTTTATATAACCGTATTTAGTTACTGTAATGTCTAAGTAAAATAATCAACAATAAACTGCACAAAGTCTTATTCCGAAAAAACACTTCAGTTGTTTGATACAATAACTTTTTACAGTATATCAGAGGTTTTAGTTTGTTTTTATCACCAAGTTAGACCCACAAGAAACAGAAAACAAACTGTTAGCTGTAACCATTGAATTCAATAAGCTTGATCACACCTTAATCATAAATACCTTATATATATTAAATTTTCACCTACGGAGTCTGTTAATTGCTCATACTGTCTGTCGAAAAATATGATTCATGTACTAATTATTGATCCGAAAAAACATGTCTGTTACAAATCCAGCCACTAGCCAATATGGCACAATTTTCGGGAACCGTTACGATTAGTTTCTGTTTAAAATACAGTTAAGTTGTGCTCGGGTGGCAAATTTTGGCACTGCAGAAAGTGAACTGCTAGTCATGCAATTCAACTGTACAACTTAGGAGGATTTAGCTGAAAGGCATACCCATTTTCACGTACTATAAAATCAGTTCTTGTGTATCAATCTACCAATCATAGGAGATTCTGTTGAGATTCAACATATGCAGCGCATCACTTCCATAATGAAGCTCTGTTTATAACATCAAATCATATTCGAATAATCCCTTCCGTATTTCTTCTCTCTCACAGCCTTGAAATTTCGGGTTCCAAAGAACATATTGTCCCGTAATGCTTCAAAGTCTTTCACGTATTGGGGATACATTTGCACGACTACCTTTCTTATTTTTTGTCGAATTAGTAGCAACAAAACGCGTTACTTTTCTTTATGATTACTGGAAACTCTATTCCAATTGGATAACATCAACCTGTCCTTCTTGTTTGTGTCCAGATGAATCTCATATCAGCTTCATTATCTCAGTCGGTAAGATTTTTGTTCTGTTTCGTCCATTTTTCATAGCTGCGGTTATAAAATTGAAGACTTTTACATTTGAAAATATTTTCCACCACATATTTATATCATCCGTAAAACTACTATATATAAATAAATTTCGAGTTCTAGCTTAAAGCTAGCATTTAAGAGTCTTTAAAACCTTTGGTTCTTGTTAGTGAGAGTATAACTGTCAAATTATTTGATTATTTCTTTGTTTATATTCCTTAATATCATGGGATTAATAGTGTAGTGGAACGTCTTTGAATTTATCTTTCCAGATGAAAGTTTTGCTTAAAAAACTAAGTGGTTGTCCTTTCAGGACATTTCAAAATCCATGAATTTATACAACTGAAATCATCTCTTTCTAATTGTTCAGGTTTTTTGCTTGAGTTCAAATGTCAAATTACAAACTAGCTTACTAATAAACTTTTGTCAGTATCTTTTTACTAGATAAAAAATAGCTTATGGATATCTCTAAATTGATTGACTAGTGAGCTTCATACAAAAAGAAATCATGCTTTGTTTCAAGTGTTAGTCATGCGCATACAGCCACCGTCAGGGAAGTCCTACTTATTGCCTTCTGGCGACAGGGATGTTGTTTAAAAATTTGGGAGGACCGAAAGCGAGTGTCTGGAGCTTAAACGGGACTGGTGGATACGGAGCACTCATCTAAGGGTGTTGGAAAACCCTGGTTCTAAACCAATGGTGCATATAGGCTCCAAGATCCTGAGGAAGCACGAGGCGTATGAACCTATTGTTGGTCACTGACTACCATGGGATTGCATCTCATAACGCTGCTTCGCTGGCTTATGTACCAGACCTCCAGGTCAAAGGCTTGGAGAGTGGTCCCCTAAGAAAACCACCTGCTTTGGTTTGGGTGCCCTGGCAGTATTCCAGTTCTCACACAAATCGAATGATTTGTGTGGCGCATATATATATATATATATCCTTGTACCAATGTTTGTTTAAATAAATAAATAAAAGACCGCTTGCTACCCATATTTTAGCTGGTCAATATAATTTGCAACTTTTAAAAAAATGCACTTCACAAATGGTACTAGTTTTTTAATGTACTCCATAATAATATTTTATCTCGGTTCTATTTTTAATTTTCAGCTTTCATCATTTGTGCAGTCACCTCAGTTATTTACATTAAAGGCATTTTCACTGTTGTATTTATTGTAATAAATCTCTTTCTTGTTTGTATAATGTTTACGAATTATATGTCTTTATTGTACACTATCACGTTACCGACATTTCCACCCGCTTTGTCTTCTTCCTCTACTTATTTTTCCTCGTCGTCGTCTTCTTCCTCACTGTCATTACTTATACGATGGCATTGTATATTGGGCTGTTTATTACTCTCTACTTCACTTTTGTTTATGCTAATAAATTCAATATTCAGGCGTATACCACCTTATAAATATTTTATAATTATAATTCTTTATATCTCTGTACTATTTATCTCTTCATTGCCAATTATTATTAAGTCCTCATCAATAGAATTGACGAGATCCGATAATGCAAAATCATTGAGAATGATGATGATAACAACAACGACAACAGCAAATGATAAGCATTCATTTCATACAAATGTCATCTATGGATTAAATAATTTTTCATCAACGTGGTTATTCTATGTCTATACAATGGTTAAACCGAATTGTTGTGTCAAGCAATCTAATGTAAATAGTAATTGGCAATCTCTTTGTCTGCCTACAAATATTCATTTGTTTTCATCAAATGAGAATATTGTTCATGATGTAACTATTGTTTCTGAAGCAGCTTATCGATATGATATAATCTTACTAACTTGTTCTTATGGTTTATTGTGTATTTATATACTACTTCTATTGTATTGTTTAAGCATTACTGATATTTATGAGATCTTTATGTCATGTGTTAATATAGAGCTGGAATTATATCGACTTGGTCTAGTTGATTATATCACATTTCATTGGAATCGATTAGATGTACCACAAATTTTAATGTACTTTTGGTCATTCAAACTAATGTCAGTGATTATTTTGGGTCCAGTATGCTGGGAAATTATTCCAACTGGTGATGTTAATGTTGATGAGATATCAGCGAAACTATTCAATTCTTCTACATTGAATGAATATTCTAATCTGGATACTGCCAATCAATCAACATTATCTATACTATACACAAGGTTATTTGTTGGTCTTTTTGTACATGGATCAGAAACCTGGTTGTCAGTGTGTGGAGCAGCTGCATTTTTCGGTGCATTAGCTACTATTTTCGTTTCTATATTGGTCTTTTTATTGGATCCATCCCGTACTGGCACAGCTCGATTAGCAGTGGTAGCTGCAGAAGCTCCAGCTGATCCACATACATGGAATGTAATTGATGATCCAGCGTTAGCTTTAGATCAAAATGATGTTATTGCTATGGAATTACTAGCTAGTACAGGATGGAATTGTGCTGTTGTCTTTTTGTTCTTAGCTTTCCAATCAGATATGCCTAATCTTCCACCAGTTTATCGTGCATCATGTTCTATGTATGGAATTATGGTTCTTGTGATTGCGTGTATCCATCCTATTCAAGCATTGATCAAGTCATTCTTATTGCGTCTTGGGGCACCTGGTCAACAAACAAATTGGTCCGAACATGTACGACCATTGTGTTTTTGTGTTGTGCTAATTTTTGCAGCTTTCAATATGTTCACTTGTTTACCAAGAATATTAACAAATGACAAACTGGATTATATTCGTAATATGAATCACAGTGAAAATGCATCCTATTTAGCTGTTTTATCACATATTGGCTCATCGGAAGAAGCAATACTTGCGAGACGACTAAGAATATTTCTAAGCGGTTGTCAATTATTAATTAGCCTTGTAGTTACACTAATTGAATATGCTATTTATCAATACTCTTATCGATATCCTAATTGGACAGGATTTCAACCAACAATATTTTGGACAAAAGTGATTAGTTCAGTAGTTGATTATTTTATTTCATTATTATCATTTCTAACAGTCTGTTGGTTAGTATTCTATGATTCTTTTGGAGTGTGTCGTTTGTTTATTATTTGTTGTTATTTCTCCTTAGTTTTATATCCATCAGCGCGTAGAGCATATATATGGATAAAATGGCGATTATTATGCACTAAACGTATGAATGATTTAGTTAATCCTAGTAAAATACAATTAGAACGGTATGGTGATACATGTCCAATATGTTTTGCTGAAATGACTATAACTACAGCAAAAATTACTAGATGTGGTCATCTTTATCATTCTGAATGTCTTATACAGTGGATGAAACATAAATTAACATGTCCTATATGTCAGTCAGATTTATTGTCAACTAGAGTGACTAATAAACGACGAGAAGTTACAAGTGCTCGAATGCAAGAGACTATAGTAGGTGAACAAAATTAAATAAGTTTAAAAGAAATTATTCAGAATTTTTGACTTTATTTATTATTATTACTATTACTACCAATACTACTACTATTACCATCATCATCATCATCATCCTTTTCACTGTCTAACCATTCGATATTAAACAAAAGTCAAACAAGAAATCACCTTTCAATCTTGTAAATGCAAATTGTTACTACTCTGTGCCTTCAATTGTACACTCATCATTATTATTTGTCAAGGATGTTTGTAAAATGGAGGCGCATATAAATTCATAATGTCTATGTGAAGCCGCTTTTTTGTTTATTTTTGTTTTTTGTGTGTATGTACGTGACTTATTATCATGCATAGTACATAAAGAGAAGATTTACAATAAATTATTGACATATAATATTGTCTATTTTTTCAGAGAAATAATAAAGTTAGTTTCGGTGTGATTCATTTACCAGTTTTGAACTATATATCTTTTGTTTATAGATTAATGATATAGTCTAGTTGTCGCAACTGATCTAGAAAGTGTAAGTTCAGTACTATGATGTAATTGTTGAATGTCGAGTGTTAAACAACTGGTCACTTATAGTGAACAGAAATATATTTATTCTAGCTGTACATAGCCCAGGGCAGAGTTCGATAAAGAATGCTGATGGGCGGCCTATGCTCCTCCACGAGGAGTAACAGGCGTAAGTAATTAAGTAAAGCTGTACGTATAGTCAGTTGGAGATTATATCATCAACATTATTACTATTGTTTTTTTTGTGTCTGGTTAAACTATAATAAGAATTTACCTCATTTATTAAATATGTTTCTACTGTTAACTTTAAACCACACTTTTGTTACTACCTAGTTATCCAAACTCCAAACAGGTGAAGCAAAGCTTTAATAATTAGAAGCTGGATGTTGTAATCATCAAACCGTCATACAAATCCCAGTATACTAGGTGAAAAATGATCAGTCAGCTACAACGTAGGACCAGGCATATATATGCATCGGTCCAAGTTGCCATACCACATTAACAAAACAAGATGGACACCGCGTTCATAAAAGTAATTAATTCAGAGGTGGTAATATATAAAAGAAAGATTGCAGTAAGGATATAGTACAGAAAGAAAGAATTAGTCCATAGAAAGACAGATATGAAGCGATTTTAATCTCATAGTTTTAGGAAAGACAGAGTGTATACACCAACGCCATTGTGATCGATTCTGAGCCATGTCACCAAGAGTCTCAACCATTGGTTACGATAGTCATGCGGCCCCCAACCAAGTAGTCTGCATCTACCAACATGGGTCAGACTAGAAGTTAATGACTTCAAGCACTGATACTACGTTTTGGTTTGGCTGCCCCTAACTTTCTTGCAACCATCTCCTACACCGGTTAGCACTGAACGTCGTGCTAACACGTAGCTCAACCATCTCAGTCGATGAAGATTCACAACCTCATCAACTGATTTATCATCATTCCCTAATACCCTATGTCTAACCTCACTATTACTTACCCGGTGATCCCAGCAGATGTGAGCAATATTTCTAAGACATCTGTGATCAAATACTAGTAGATTACGAGTAGCTTCTACTCTTAATGGCCACGTTTCGCAGACGTAGAGTAAAACAGAATGAACTACCGCGCAGTATACTCGTCCTTTAGTTGATAGACGGATATCTCGTTTTCTCCATAGGTGACGTATGTTGGCATAAGCCAAACGAGCTTTTTGAATCCGTTCTGAGATTTCGTCAGACACCAACCCAGCATGTGAAAAATGATAATGTAGATGATCAATTTACAATCACGTATCGACTAAAATCAATAAATCATTTACTATTTACAATTATTGATAATTTCTTACGACTATTTTAACTGTTGGTTAGCATATGAAGATTGAAAGGATTAAGTGCATGTTTATAATAACATGCAAATATATAGCAAACAGATGATTTAGATATATTAGAAAACTAACCTCTCACTAATGGTAATCATTTATCATGTCTCATCAAGTCCTTCATGCTGATAGAATCCCACCAAGTTAGTTGCAACATGTCCACTGATCTAAGTGATACAGTGTCGTGGTGTGCTTTTTTGCTGTTACTAGGAATCACAGACTTACTTTCCAAGGTGTCTGGCTCTTGTCGAGAAAATTTGTCCAGATTCTCAAAGAAAGCGATAAGGAATTCTAGCCTGGCTCACAGTATTTCTCAAAAAATGTTATTACTATGCTACTTGACGAGAACTAACTTTCCGTAACGTACATGTTTTGTACTAATTAGTCATTGATTAATAATTAATGTCCTATTGCGTAGTCCTTATAGATAATCGCTTCTTATCGATGTAGTTGTAATGAAGTAGATGATTATAGATCATTGATATGTTAAATTAGGCCATGAGTATTAAATTGTCCTTATCTTTTACAGCAAACTCCTACATCATCCTAAGTTTGCTTTTAACTTTTTCGACTACCCTCTGCAAACAGTTTCTAATTTATAACTCAACAGGATTACTTTGGTTTTGTGTTCTTTGAGCTGAATAATTCAATCTTAAACATTCCATCGTCTTTCTAGACAACATTATTAGCTGCAAAATGTTCAGTAGATATCTAGAACGACAATAAGAATTTCTTGTAATAAATTATTTGAATCAAATGTATACAACACTATGTAATTTTATACAGATATGAGAATTTAGTTTAAATTACCGGAAATTTATTAAATAGTGAGGATAAATAAGTGTATGATTATGTAAAATGGTAGTTATCAATTAAACAATTGCCTATTGAATTTACAGTTCATTGCGTTGTTGTGTCTTGTTATTGGGGTCCAGTACGGCTTACAATATTACGGCTTCAGGAACATAAACGACTGAGCTTCTCTAATACGATCGATTTTCTTTGTAACTGACAACACCTAATTATACTCAACACATCAAACCTCGATGGCTGAGGCAGGAAGAAGATGGAATTGCAGGTAAATTGATATTTTGTGTTAGAACAAGAAACTCAAACCACATTGGTATAAAAGTTGTTACTATAGTAGCAGAATATGACCTTCGAGTATGTAACGTCGTCACGACTGGCTTGGTCATATAACTCTTCTGGCGATTTTGCAACTATGAGTATATCGTTTAAATAAACGGCTACACCTGTAATACCAGTTAATATGGTATCCATTAATTCTGGAATATCGCTGGTGCCATCTTTACTCCAAAAGGCAGTCGCTTATACTGATATAAACCTCTATGTGTGTTTATTGTCAGTAATTCAAGGCATGAAGGATCGACCTATACTTACAGATAGGCTTCGGCTAGATCTAGTTTTGGAAAGTAACTTTCACCGTTTAATATTGTAAGAAAAATCATCTGGAACTGAATAAGAATAATGACATTGTTCTTATCACATTTTGTAATCTTGTAAAGAATATTCATCAATGATTTTTTGTTTATGGTACATCAAACTAAGGCAGAAAATTTATCTAAGTTCAGATTGTCCTTATTTTCATATTTAGGTTTTTCGATATTTAAAATAATCTTGCTTACCACAATAAACTTTGCAATTATTAGATTTGGTAAAGTTTCATTGTTTAGAAACAAAAAAAAATGAAATTTTGTCAAACGGTATCAATGGATTAGATTAATTGTTGCAGTGGTACTTTTTAAAATGACCAGGGCGTGGTGAATAAAAATCGTAGCAATGTCCTGCAAGTGGAGCAGTGGGCTAATAGCTGAAACATTCAACCTTTAATTGGTAGTTCGTATATTTGAACTCGTTCCCACAGACTTCAGTTTGAGCAACTGAATGGTATCATTAAATGTGACTGAATAATTCATGGTTAGCTTTTTTTAGCAAGTTAGTATTCTACGGTATGGGGTCGCTAACCCCATTCCCAATCCTCCTCCTTTATCTGGGTTTGGGACCGGCAGTAGCCCCAGAGGGGCTCCAGGCGGAGTTATCGCTAAAGATGATACCATATTATTATAAGGGGATGTTATGTCCCGATACGAATAATGATTGGTAACTTTTGGGATCCATTTATGGACCAATACTATGAGTATATTTTTATTGTATATTTGTTAAATAACTGGACTATTCTATTCATATTCCTCTTATTATGAGCTTTATTTTGATCTATGAACTATTATTTTATGATTTACCATTCTTGAATTATGCCCTGTCTATTAATTACTATCTCCCTCATTCACAGCCACATTTGGCTAATTCTTGTACAAATGTTGTTTCCTATTTTATGGTACGGTGTGGTCTGTCTGGTTGGTATATAAACCTAGTATACTTGAAATAAATGATTCATATTGCAGAGCCTGAAATTGGTGTTCTGGACCTAATTGGCTGGGCTAAGCAAGAAGCACGACCAATCAGGACTCTAGAGTGTTCGTACATGTTTTATATGTCATTGGTCCGATCGATAATTCACTACCCTCTAATTGGCGGTATCATTACGTTATACATTAATAGGGAACACAGGCCACAAGTTATAACAGGGGATAGTCTAAATTTATCAAAAATAACAGTTTTGTCCTTGTACTGTGTTCCTTATTGATAATTAACATATTTGTAACAAAAAATATCTTTATATACTTGTGCAAACAACATTTGAATACTTTGAGAAGTTGGTTGGTTAATTGGTTATTATGCAATTAGGTTAAAGTGCGATGGAACTGTTGAGACCTTTTAGCTCTATAAGTCGATATACTGAGCGAAAAAAGTGTCTACATGGTGTATAGCCCAAGATGTTGATTTTCAGTTGCGGAACTTTCTACGACGAGTACTCGCATTATTTGATTCCAGATTACTGTTTTTTTGCGTCTGTATACAGTTCCCAAACAAAACTAACTCAACCTCCTTATTCTCTAGATTACAAAAGTTGGCAACGCCATAGGCTGTGTTAACGAGATATAGATTGGGTTAAAGCATGCTCTATACAGGGTTGTGTTGCAGCACGCTGATTGGCGGATGTTTGGAGAATACTAGAATATTCTTGTGTGAAAATTATAAATATACTAACTTTTTCTTGTGATTCCTGCTTTTATTCAACCTTGTTTATTTTGAATATAATTACGTTCCTGTTCAACCGTGTTCTGATTTGAGGACTTGTCGATTGAAGTAACGTTCAAGAATAAGAGTAGCTATGCTGTAATAAGAGAGATCGTAACACAAACTGCGTGATGTGGTCACAAATTCCTCAGGGAACATCGGCTCCCTCAAAATAACGAGTGTAAAATGGCACAAAACCTACGTAGGTAAACCAGGATTTCCAGTTGAATATCTCCAACCACGCAACACTAGTAAAGAACGCATATTTCCTGATCGCATTTTAACTGACATCAGTTTAAGATATTAACTGTTTTGGAATGAAAAAATCCCCCACGTAACTCAACTAAAAATTGATGTATGTGTTATAATTTGGGGCGAAATTCCAAAGGATCACAACGAAACTGACAAAACCCCTTTATAAAGAATATGCTAATTCTGTTACATAATACTGATCACATATACTGTATTTCTATGAAGTGATTGGGATTTAATCAAATGCCTTTGTATGGACCAGGAGTCAGTACTATAA